GCCGCGACGCCAGCAGCTTCCTCTGCTCTCCAATGCGCCGAGAAGCGACGCGGCGGTGCTCGGCTCGCCATGCACGATGACGGCTCCGCTGGGTGCTCGTCGGCCGGTCCGGTGGCACCCTATTCGCGCGTCACCTGCCGCCGCCGACGACAGCCTCGCGCCGCCGCTGACTAACCTGATCTCAGAATCACTCCTCTGGAGAACGCTCTTCTCGTCAACATGCCAGTGAGCGCATCTCTGAGCTGCATCAGCACGTGATCTTGCCGAGCTTCGATCCGAACGGAGAGTCACGAGTGGACCGCATCGCGCGAGCCGTGCTCAATGCGCCAGTACCAGCTGTGGTGCCTACCGTGGCCGCTCATTCCTCTCTACAGTGCATGGAGTGTGAGGAGTGAGGATTGGTGTCCCATTAACATTATGACTTTCTTACCTCTTGTGACTAGTGAGTGCTTCTTTTCGGCGCCGCCGCGCCGCCACCCCTTTTGCGCAGCAACACCTTAAACTTCATGGCCCTCCAAATTCGCGGGTCGGAGCGTAGCGGAGTGGGACCCGAGTTTGAAAAAGGCGACGGACGCTTGCGTCCTAGCCTCCAACAACGCCTCCCCGGCGCAGAGGGGCCCCCGGAGGGATGCTCAACCGCTCCACGCCACGCCGCTTGCGGCGATCCTATTCCCAGCTCCGCTGAGGGCCGATGGGTTATTTCTTCTTGCAGAGACGGCAGCAGCACGCGCGATACGAGCAGCGGTTCCCTCGCCAGGGAGTCGCTGCACTTCACTTCTGGCCATGGAAGAAGACAGCCCCATCGAGAAGCAGGTCAAGGAGCTCGAGCATCAGATAGCGCACCTCCAGCGATCCAACGCCGAGATGGAGGAATTCCTGAGAGAAAACACCGATGCGGAGCTGCGCGCAGCGATCGGCGAGAACATCGTCACGATCGCGCGTCGACGCGCCATCGTTGAGGATCTCCGAAAACTTCTGCCTGAGCGAAGCGGCCCCACCGTGGTAGCACCCAGTGGAGCGGCGGTTCTGAGCGACGTTGACGGCAGCATGCTCCTCTGAAGCCTTGGCAAGACACTCAGCCAGCGTGGCTGCCGCATGTCCTGTGCGCAACCCCTGACTTCGGCGCTGTGAGGCGTCCCCGTCGTCGACCAGACGCCGATCCTCTTCACGCCGCTGCCGGAGCTGTGTAGGGGCTGATTTGGGCACCATGGACTACAGGATCGTGTTGCGCATATAGTCACCACCATCATGCTTTCTTGCGCACCCCGCACACGTGTATGCCAGTGCGCTGAGATTAGCACTCTCTGCGAGGCAGCGCTAGGCAGGTGCGAAACGAGGTCAAATCACTTCACGAGTTCATTTTGCGACACGAATGCGCATAGAGATACGAGAGAAACGCATTTTCGTTGAGGCCCACGCACTTCGGACGTGCATCTTTGAGTGTCGTTCAGGTTCACAGTACGGCTTCAACACAATCACAGACCAAAAAAGAGAGCGACCAGCAGTGCGAGCAGACCCCACTCCCCAGAGTGGGCAGAGCTCTCTTTTTTTCGTTTGTTTTTACCCAATGTGTAGGAAATGGGGCCCCCAGCAAAAGCATACACTATAGTTATCCCGGCACCTGCGGCCCCATGCGCTGGAGCTGATTAGGTGAGGTGCGTGGGAAGCATGCAGTTTTATAATTTAAGAATCCCCGCAACAGCAGCCGGTACAGTAGCATGAATGCCACTCAGGGCGGCGGGGTCCGAACCGGCCAAGTAGCCCGGGAGATGCGGTGTTCGTCTCGTCGAGACACTAGAGCCGCGTCGGCAGAGTGCCGCATTACTCGAGTGTCTCGACGAGACGAACACCGCATCTCCCGGGCTACTTGGCCGGTTCGGACCCCGCCGCCCTGAGTGGCATTCATGCTACTGTACCAAACTGCATGCTTCCCACGCACCTCACCTAATCAGCTCCAGCGCATGGGGCAGCAGGAGCAGGGCAATCATCAGTGCAGACGCCGGGACGAGCCGGTCCATCGCTCTCTTCCGAACCTCGCTGACGATAGCATCGGTCGGCAGGCCAGACAGCATGCTGAGTGATGGCGGCGAGGACCGCGCAACGCGAGCTTTCCGTGATGCTGCTTGCCGGGCCTGCAGTCGCCTGACAAACCCCGCCGATGGCACCCAAACACTACTGTTGGCCGCCATGATGGGACTAGCACGAGCCTCCGGCGGTGCGCTTCCAAAGACAGCTAAGGGTGGCCGTTCTTCGGCGGCGGAATCAGCAGCAGCATCAGTAGCAGGCACGTCCGAAGTGTCAATCACGCCGCGCTCCCACGAGGGATGCTGCTCCCACACCCGCGGCTGTTCCCAATGGTGTAGGCTAGCCTTTAGGGCGGGGGTGCTGTGCTGGTACGGTGCCTTCGGAGCCACCAAGGTTGGGGCGATGTAAGATGAGAGGAGAAGTAGAGCCATACGAGGTGGCGCCTGCGACGTGCGTCCGCCAGCGGCGCTCGATCTCACGAAAGGAGTTTCCGTGCCACCTTGGGTCCACGTGACTCCATGAGCTGTGAACAGACCAGCGCACAGCGCCATAAGACGTATTTTCTTCTCAATAACAAGGCTGTGATTTTTTTACGAGCATCCTTCCTTCGCGCGGGAGTCGGAACGCCGGACTGCGGACACGTGCCGCATTCCATCCATCCAGTGAGTGGCTTTCTTGGTTTCCTTTGGGAGATTCACAAAGAAAGAATTTAACAAAATCAAGTCTCAAAGAAAGAAAGAAAACAAAGCCAAACGAGGGATGGGAGGAGCTAGAAGCAAGAAGGAGGACAGGGTCGTCCCACGTCTCCCAAAAAAAAACAAAAAATGACGTGTGAGTGTTAGAGTTGTTTGTTTGTGGTATTGCTAAAAATCTCTCTCGTCCCCACCTCTGCACGAGCAGGATCGTGAGCGTGCACCTCGATCCTGTACCGTGTTTGTTATCGGACCCCCCCCCAATGAACACACCAGTGAGGGGAGGGCGAGACGATCGTCGATCGAGGGGTCCCGTACCATGCGGAATCGACTCTATCTATCCAGTTTGCTCAAGTGCTAAATAAATAAATAAAAACGGACACCTCTCTACTGTGAGATGGGTAAAAAGGAACAGGTCCCCGCCCTTGCGATCTTTGTGCAGGGTTCTTTGTGGGTGTGGTCGGCGACTAGCCGGGGTCGTCCTCCCGATGGGGGACTAGCACTAGCCGTCTTCCACATGGTCCCTCGGGTCCCTGCTGCTCCTAAATTAGGGGGTGCACAGCGCCCCAAAATCCACCAGTGTGGGATTGCTCGCACAAAAATTTGACTCTGAATAGCTCGCAATGTACCTTTCTGAGCGCTGTGGTCGCCGCAGACTGGCTCCGACTTGACGGCGGCATGGAGGCATGATGCCTCCATGCCGCCGTCAAGTCGAAATCGACATGCAGCTCGATGGTTTGCCCGAAAGGTACATAGCGGCGTTTGGTCGACAAACAGCGCTGCGACCGCGATGTGGCGGTGGACATGCTCCCATGTTGCCGACGCGGCGCCGGAGTGGCCGGCGCTGCTCGCCGCGACCACGACGGCTACTCAGATGCTCCGGGCCGACCCGTCCTACCCGACGGTGGCACTCTTCCACGTCTCGTTCACGCTGAGAAAAATCTGAAACGGCGTGCAGCAGAGTCGCCGACGAGTTGGTCCGCGTGACTCCTCGTGTCCCGTACCGTTCTCACACATCCATAAACTCACTTTGGCCTCACTGAAGCGATGCCTCAATCCTGAATCCTCAGATTTTAGATTGGGACGCTGTGCACCCCCGACCTAAATCTCTTCGTACTCCCTTAATGTGGGTAAACGAAAGTAGCGTATACGCTACTATGAAAGAAGAAGCCGAAAAAAGACGCCGGAGTCAGTCCGCCCGAGCCAGCCAGCTGCCGGCTCGCACGGCAGCCTCTTCCTCTCGACCAGCCTCAACTTCCGTACAGTCAGCATTTTGTCGCTGCGTGCTCGTGGCCAGCTGTGGCGGCGGTCGAAGTTCGCCCAGGTTCGGTGACGAGCGCCAGACGATAGTAGTGTCTCTGTTCGCCCTGTGCATGTCAGGCCAGGCTGCAGCAGGGCACTACCATCGTGCTGCCCTGTTGCAGCCTGACTTTGCCCACTGTGCACAGTCGCCAGAGCACCACCACCGCCCGGCATCGTGTCACGGCGAGCTCCTTCTGCGCCCGCTCGCGAGGCTCTCGCGCTGGCACACTTTGGCCATCTGCTGCTCGCGTTCGGCGAGCTCATCTCCGCACTCCTGCCACGGTGCCGTCACCACACACCTTCTGGCCGGCCTGAGCCGCGCGGGGTCGCCAGCGGGGGCAACGCGTCGACCTCTCTCTCTGGTGCACCACGGGCCGCAACGGCCTGCTAGCAGCGTGCGCGAGGAGGCAGTGTGCCGGCACAGTCGAGCCGGAGCATCGGGTTCTTGATGCTTGTGGGGTCAAGTCTGACCTTATGCGGCCTAATATGCAATAATAATGCTATGCTCTCACCCAGTCTTTTGAGATATTATCCCTCAAAGTCGAATTTTCGTTTACTGGTGACCATAGTAGTGTCTGTCTTGTTGCGAGATCTTCAAACGAATCCTTTAAAGTCTCGACAATCACTAAGCTGCTTATGTGGCACCGCAGAGGCTCCCTTGGGGATGCCTGAGGCCACCCCAACCACTCACTAGGCCGTACGTGGACGAATTGGCCGCTACTTTTTTCGTTTACCTACATTAAGGGAGTACATCCTCCTGCTGATCTGCTCAAGTGCTCAAGGGTCGGATTCACAGATTTTTTTTCCAGTTCACAGTTTTTGTTTTGAGTTGCGCACAAGTTTTAAAGTAAGTTTTCTCCACTCTCGACAGCTTCTGTAATCTGTATCTCTCTGACTCTGTGAGGTGAGTGAGAGTGTGTGTGTGTTATATGGACGAATATACATATCACTTAGTCACTGCGTTCGTTTATTACGCCTCGCAAGCACAATACGAACACGTTTAGTAGACAAGGTTGAGCGCGCGGAAATCGCGACATGCTACAGCTGTCGCTCTGATGTTGCAAACACGCATGACGGCGAGGGGATGCGAAACGTACCCCGCGCAGGAGGTGCCTCGCTCGGCAAGCTACTCGCGGTGGCAGCACGCACAGCGTTGCCGCCGCTCCCGCTCCAGCCACCGCCGCCATCCTCCCTGGCAGCCTTGCGCGCCCTCGCGCGCTCCCCCAGCTCCTCCAGCCTCGCCGCCCGCGCCCCCAGCTCCTCCGCCCCCTCCCCCCCCTCCGCCTCCATCTGCTGCCCGCACGCGGTCCGCCGCGCGTCCTGCTCGCCCGGCGGGCGCGCCCCATCCAGGCGACCTGCTCGCCGCTTCGTGCCCGCCTGCCCGGGCCGAGCCGGCGCGCCTCGGAGCCGCGCCGCCGCGAGCGCCGCGGGAGAGACTGGCCGCGGCGACTCGCGGAACCAGGCGTGGCCTGCGGCGGCGGCGGCGTCAAGCCGCTGCGTCGGGTCGTACGTCAGCAGGCCGTCGAGCAGCTGCAGCGTCGTCTCGGTCGGCCGGAGCCGCGCGAATGTGTGTGCGAGCTCGTTGAAGGGCTGGTCGGGCAGCGCGGGGCCGAGCGAGCGGAAGAGGGGCAGCGCGCTCATGCCGGGCCAGATGCGGTCCGACGGCGCGCCGAGCAGCTCGACCATCAGCTTGAGCTGCTGCGGCTCGGTCGGGCCGGGCATGAGCGGCCTAGGGTTAGGGTTAGGGTTAGGGTTAGGGTTAGGGTTAGGTGAAGGGTCGGGCCGGGCATGAGCGGCCGGTGCAGCAGCAGCTCGCCGACGACGCACCCGACGGCCCAGAGGTCGACGGGCGCGCCGTAGTGCTGCGCGCCGAAGAGGAGCTCCGGCGCGCGGTACCTGGAGGCCGTGCGAGCAGGGGTGTGGAGAGAGGGGCGGGTGTGGAGGGGCAGCCGGGTATGCAAGGGCAGCCGGTGCGGCGGGAACCAGAGCGTGACGACGCGAGGCGTGAGGGCGCCTGACGGCGGCGCCTCTCGCGCGAGCCCAAAGTCGCAGAGCTTGAGCTCGCCTGCCGGATCGGAGAGAGGCCAAGCGGAGAGGGGGTGAGGCGGGCAAGCCGGGGGAGGGGAAGCGGCAAGCGGAGAGGGGGTGAGGCGGGCATGCCGGGGGAGGGGAAGCGGCAAGCGGAGAGGCGGGAGGGCCGTCGTGGGCCGAGGGGGAAGGCGTCTGCAGAGAGAGGCGGGAGGAGGGAGCGACGGGGGAGGAGGGGGGAGCGAACGAGGCGAGAGGGAGAGAGCGCGCTCGCCCTTTGCGTTGAGCAGCAGGTTGGACATCTTGAGGTCGCGGTGCAGCACGCCGCAGCCGTGCAGGTGCTGCACGGCGCAGAGCAGCTGCTCGGAGAGGCATTTGGCCTCTGGGAGGGAGAAGGGAGTGGGCATCGAGTCGAGCAGCTTGGCGAGCTCGTACTCGCAGTACTCAAACACGAGGAATAGCGAGTCTGCCTTGGAGCCGACCACCACCTCCGCCAGCGTCACAATGTTGGGGTGCGAGAGACGCCGCAGCAGGCTCACCTCGCGCACCGACGTGAGCGGCATCCCCTCGCGGTCAAAGCCCGAAGAGGAGAGCTTGACGCGCTTGAGCGCGACGAGCTGGCTGCTCTCGCGGTCGCGCGCGAGGTACACGTCCCCGTACGTCCCCTCGCCAATCTTGTGCACTTTCGAGAAGACCGTGACCGGCCGGCACGGCTTATGCGAGGGCAAGATGGCGTCCGCCATCCGCTGTGGTACCCCAGCACAGCACCCACGGAGTGACTGTCCAGGAGGGCGACCACCGCGGAGACTGTGGACTGTGGCGGGGTGAGCTAGGGATCCACGCCGAGCGCGCTCGAAAAGCAAAAAAAAACGCGGCGCGGTTTTAAAAACAAAAAAATGTTTTTCAGGCATGCGTGGGCAACATTTTTTCCCGCGCCTCGACTTACACGTCCAGCTGTGCGTCCCCAGCGGCGGCAACGTGCGTGTGCATGGCAGCGCACAGGCATATACATGCAAACATGCAAACCCCGCTCCTCGTCGAGCCCGCTCCCGCCTTTTGCACTCCCGGAACAGTCCGCGTGGCGATCGGCGCCGCGCTATTCGCTCTCACTAACGCCGCCGCGACCTGCCTGTACCGACGCGAGGGTGCGAGCGTCGCCAGCCTCTACGTGATCCGCTCGCCGATCGTCTACTTTGCAAATGTCGCGCTCGTCGCTCTGCAAGACGGGCGGCAGGCCGCGGCCGACGTGCTCCTCCTCCGCACCGGGAGCGCCACAGCCACACGGCTGGCAATCACCCGCAGCCTGCTCAACACGCTCAAGCAGATCATACTCTCCGTCGCCTTCGTTTTCCTCACCTACGCCGACGCCTTCACCGTCTTCAAGGGCGTCGGCACCCTGAGCACCGTCCTCGTCGCGCGGAGGCTGCTCGGCTCCGGCGAGGCGCTCTCGCGGCGCGAGCTCGCTTGCGGGCTGCTCATTCTCGCGGGCATCACGCTAGTCGCGCAGCCGTCAGCGCTCTTTGGCCAGTGGCTGCCGCCGGCCGCCCCGCCGCCGCCGCCGCCGCCGCCGCCGCCGCCGCCGCTGCAGACGGGCGCTTCTCCTCGCGTGAGGCAGTGGGTGCCTCACTGCGGCGCCGGCCTCGCCTTGGCGGCGGCCGCGGGAGGGCTGTCCGCCTGCTCGGGCACGCTGATGCGGTACCTCTCGCAGGCGGGAGGGCCGCACGATGGGCGCACGCCGCCGGCGATGCTGCTCAGCTTCCTCACGGCCACCATGTTCGTCTGCAACGGCGGCGCGCACCTCGCCGCCCGCTACGCCGGCGTCACCGATGCGCCCGGGTGGCGCTGGGGCGCGTTCGTGCTCCCGGCTGGCGCTGGTGACTGGGCGCTTATCGCAGCCAACTGCGCGTGCACGCTCGCGGCTCACCTCGCGACGGCCGCGGGCTATCGGGACACGAGGGCGGGTATGGTCGCCTTTCTGCAGCTCACGGAGCTGCCGTGGGTCTACCTGCTCGACGTGTTCGCCCTCGGCGAGCCGACGAGCGCCCTCGCGAGCGTGGGCAGCGCCGTCGTGTTTGCGGGCGCGCTCGCGGCGGCGCTGCAGCAAGGGAAGACATAGTAGTTTCAGAGGCCAACCCTACTTTTATTTTTGAGCAGGTTTCCTCGATGTGTGCGCACCTAATATGCTATATGGCGCGCCTCCGAGCTCCACGCCGTTCCACACACATCCAGTTCCAGTTCGCAGTTGTCTGTCCGCGAACAGGAACACGCAGCTAAACCGAGCTATGCTAAAACGATGATATCGGCTCCGGGGGCGCTCGCATGCTCTCGTCTTACCACTTCGTACGTCTTGGTCTATTATGCACTAACCACTATGTGGCAGGTGTGCCATGGACAACGCACACATGGCCCCATGAGGTGGGCTTTGTGTGTGTGTACTTTTTACGCGTGGAAAACCCGGGGGGGCCCGGACGGACGCCAGCACACACCGGCTTACCACCTCCCACCTCTACCTCTAGCCGTGTGTGCTGGCGTCCGGGTCCCAGCGGGTTTTCACGTAACAAGAGTACACACGGATAGATTTCATGGCGCTGTGCCGCACCAGGCGCCAGGCTCCTAGGCAGGGGAGGCGTCGAATGCACCGCCAATCCTCTCTCTCTCTCTAGTAATCATCGCGGAGGGCTGCGGGCGGGGCCTGAGGAGGACCTCGGTGTGTGTGGGAGGAAGCTGAGTGGAATTCGGACTTTGTGTGTGTGTAGTACGTCTCCAAGTTACTATGTCTGAGCTCTCGCTCGGATAAGACCCCGCCCGCTCCCCCCCCCCTCCCCCCCCGCCGCCGCCCCCCCGCCCGCCCCGACCCAGCTAGGAGCAGAACATGCACCCCCCACTGCCTCCCGCAGGTGAGAAAGGACTCAATTCAATCAAACAATGGGCTCGCCCATACCGGAGTGGTTCGACTCCACGCAAACCCGGAGTGGTGAGGGGCTGGTCGCGCGATGGTCTCAGGCCCAGTGAGGTAGTGCATCCGACGGCCCGGATCCTGCTGAACAAGTTCCTCTTGTAGCTCGGTCGGTCACACCGCCATCGCCGTCGGGGAGAGGGGGGACGACACTGCTTTGGCAGCGTGCACCTCGATCCTGTATGTACCGTGTTTGTTATGACCCCCCCAATGAACACACCAGTGAGGGTGGGCGAGACGATCGAGGGGTCCCGTACCATGCGGAATCGACCCTATCCAGTGCTCAAGTGCTCAAGTAATCATCGTTCGCGCAAAATCGGCGCGATCGCCGCCGCCCGTCCTGCGGTCTCGAGCGGTCTTGCGCGCTGTGATATGGGGCAGAAACCGTCAAAGAAGGCAACACCGCCGCCCGCGAAGGACCCTCTCGAGGAGCTGTTCGAAACGGCTGACGTGGACAAATCTGGATCGATCGATGTCAAGGAGCTCAGCACCCTGATGACGGTTGCGGGAATCGGGGGGACGGCCTCCGAGGCTTTGTATGGCGCAAACATCCTGAACCCTATCGATGACGAGTTTGACGGTGTCCCGACGATGGACTGCACAGAGTTCTGCCTTTTCATGAAGGAGAAGCTCGGCGAGGACGCGGGAAAGGTGGCGAAGCAGATGAAGGATATGTTGGCTTTGCGTGCGCTGTTCGAGACGGGGATAGGGTCGCAAGATGCCTTCAGGGCAAGCGACGCGGACGGCGATGGCTCCCTAGACGTGGCTGAGCTCTCGAAGCTCATGGCGGCGGCAGGGATCGGAGGATCGGCGTCCGACGCCCTCTACGACGCCAACATCAACGACGTGTTTAGCCATGACTTCACCGACGTCGCGAAGATGGATTACACCGAATTCTTGCTCTTCATGAAAGACAAGCTCGGCGACACTGCGGGATACGCGGCGGCCCAGATGAAGGAGATGACCGCACTGAAGAGTCTCTTCGATGCGTGCGACAAAGACAAGTCTGGCTCGCTGGATGTCGAGGAGCTCAAGGTCCTAATCAAGGAGGCCAAGGTGCAACCAACCACAAACCGGCTTGTGTGGGGCAGTCGCCACGCCCCCTTACCTGCCCTCCTTCCCTCCCTAGGTGTCCGCCACGGCGGAGGACGCACTCTACGAATACAACATCCTCGACGTGTTTGAGAACAGCTGGGACAGCGAGGAGACGGAAATGACTAAGATGGACTACACTGAGTTCTGCCTCTTTGTGAAGGACAAGATTGGCACAGGGACGACGAAACAGACCGAGGCGCTCACGAAGCTGGTCACCACCATGAAGGCAGCGTCGGCAGCCTGAGCGTTGCTCTATTGATTTGTGCAGGCCCACATGATTGTCCCGTTATCCGTTGATTGTCAGAGCCAGCTGCGCTGGCCGGGCCGCTTATGGGGGACAGGGACCCGCACGCTTGCGTGTGCGGACATGGTGACCGTCATTGGTCAGACTGTCTTCACTCTCTATCTATCTATCTTGGTGTGAGAGTGAGTGAGAGAGAGTGCGAGATTTCTTCTGAGTGAGAAAAGAAAAAATCCCCGGACAACACTGGGCACGGGACAACACTGGGCACGGGAGTGGCGCGCACTCACGATGCTTGGTTTTCTTCCTTGCTTGCCACCCGCTGGGCGACCCGTCGCTTGGGGCCCCCCGGCCTACCCGCGCGGTTGCTCATCTCTGAGTCAGGCGTGCGGACACATATGGGGAAGCGCAAGCTCGCTGCAGCGCGCACGGCGCGGCCGCTCCAGGTCGGCGACGCTGTGAGGGCCAAGTACCTCGCAGACAAGCCACCGCCGCGATTCCTGCAGGGGAAATCGTCCGGCCGCGGCTACTACTTCCGCGGGCAGGTCTGTGGCGTGCACGCCGACGGCTGCGTGGATGTGTACTTTGCCGACGGACACTTTGAAGCGCGCGTTGTGCCGCAGTTCGTCACGCGTACCTCGCACTCTGTGCTGCGCCGCTGGCGCTCATCGGGCCACGATCTCATCGGGCGGCGCCTCCTGATCAGCGTGTTTGAGTTCGACAAGGCTGCGCACCGCGCTTTCGGCGCGCGCGTGGTCGCGTGGACCGAGGACGGGGGCTTGTTCCATGTCGTTCACGACGATGACGACGAGGAGGCGCTGACCGAGGCGGATATCTGGGAGGGGATCAAGAGGCTCGAGGCGGGCGCCTGCACGGGGCCGGCGGCTACGCCACCGCCGCCGCCGCTCGCCCCGCAGCGCCCGCCCCAGGGAAGCGCATCGGCGGGCCCGGCGGGCGGCGCGGGCGGCGCTGCAACGCCGCTTGGGCCGCCAGGTCCGGTGGACGACGACGCGGCGGTGCGAGAGGCTCTGCGCGAGCCCGGCAGCATGGCGGGCGTGCGCGAGATGCTTCGGCGAGCCCGAGCGGGCGCGGCGGCTCCGCGGCTGCAGCGCACTTCACCTCTGCACGAGCTGCTGTAGGCGCGTCCGCCTCGACCACTACGCTGAGGTGTTTGACGAGCAGGGCTATGATGACTTGAACCACATCCGGGCGATCGCCGTCGAGGGAGGCGGCGACTTTGAGCGCTTTGTTTGCCACGTTGGACTCAAGCCCGGCCACGCGGCGAAGGTCAAGAGCTGGTGCCGCAGCCTGCCCGTGGCCATGGCACGGTGAGGGCGCAGTTTTTCTTTATGTCCTTTTTTCGCGGTATTGGTACCCGGCTGCCCCAGGCTTTCGGCGCCATGGATTTGGACGAACTCGAAGGTCCCCTCGACGAGGCGCTTCGTCGTGCTCCCGGCCTGCTCCAGCACCCGTGCACGCGGGCCGCCGCCACGCGTGCGCTGCTCGCCCGGCTCCCGTGTGAGGAGGCACGTGGCGCTCGCTCGATCGCCGCCCTGCTGAGTGCGCACGGCGAGCGGTCCCTGGAGGTAAGCACGGAGATTTTTGCGGTGCTGCCGCTGCTCGACGCTCCGGCGTGTCGCGAGGTGCTGGGCCACCTGCCCACCCTTGTTGGCGGCTCTGACGCTGAGGCGGACGGGATGATGGAGGCGGCGCGCGCAGTGATGGCGGCGGACCGCTCGCTGCTCGTGCCTGCGATCGGTGCGACCGCTTACATGGCCCTGTGCCGCCCGAGCGCGCTCTGAGGAGAGCCACGCGAGATCGGCAGGCGCTCTCTCCGAGGCTTCGTTGCCGGCGTCGCACGCACACGAGTTGGCGCGTCTCGCCGCGGCGGCGCTGCCCCTCGCCGATGAGTCGGACCTGCCCACTCTGGTCCGCACGCTCGTCGGCTGCCTGTCCGCGCGGTCGGCCGGGCGGGTGCTGCGCGCGCTCCGCTCCGCCCTCGGCCCCGTGTCGAGCCAGACGGTCGGCCTGCTCCTCGAGGCGGCAACGCACCCAGCCCTCTCCCTGGCCCTTTCGCATGCGCCCCTGCTCCTGCACTGCACCCTGCCCCTGCCCTGCCACCCGCCCCTCCCCCACACCCTCCAGGTGGTTGGCCACGCTCTGCGAGTCTCCACGCCCGCCGTCTCGTCGCTCCTGCGCCTCTGCGCCTCCTCGCCGCCCCTCTCACGGTGTGCGCGAAGGCCCGGCTGCAGCCTCCGCCACAGCCGTACCTCACCACCTCTGCCACTGCCGCTGCCATCGCCGCGACCTCCGCCGCCGCCGCCGCCGCCGCCGCCGCCGCCGTCGTCGCCGCCGCCTCCTCGTTTTGGTCGCTGAGCCTCGTGCCCGCGCCTCGCGCCCGCCCAGGTGGGAACGTCCTTGTTCCTCCTGCGGCTCTCCCCCCGAGGCTTCCCCATCGCGCGGCGCTGTTAATCCCCCCGTCGGTTCTTGCCGTCGCCCTTCCGGCGCCTGGGAAGCTTTGTTTTCCTCTTCCTACCCCTTCGCCTGAATCGGGGTCCCTCCAGAAACCCGTTTCCCTTTGGGGTCCCCCTTCTTT